CGCTGTTACTCATTCAGTTAAAAAAAATAAAATTCTTAATATGTGTTTTTAGGGATCAAGTATTAATAAGGAAAACTACATGGGAAGGCAATAACATTTAAATATAAAAGATGACTCAACATAGTAAGTTCCATTTGCAGGATAGAAAATATGTTCATTTGAGAAACATTTAGAAGCTGTCAATTTGTGTTTTATTAAACATTAAACTCTTCCCTACAGAATAAAAGGTAGTGAGGAGGTGTGAGGCCCATTCACATTTATAATGGCTAATGCACCAGATTATAAAGAATATTTTGGCACAACTATCTAAAAGTAGATGACGACATCTTCCCTCATTCGAACAAGCCTATTTGCAACGACGTGGTAAAGAATAATTCAAATGATCTTCTCAACGATTTCAAGCCTATCAGTTATATCGACTTTCGGTTTGGATGAATTAACAATTACGAAGTAGAGCGTTTGCGATTATAAACTTTAGAAATTCTTCCAAATGTTTATTTGAAAATGACAAGTCCTCCATACCTCATGTTTAGTCTTTATTTCTTTGAAAATTCAATACAGAAGGTAAAAGAGTGAACAGGCTTGCTTGTTTGGATTGGGTGGTTTTGAAAGTTGCTTAGGAGGAGCAATGAGGGACTTGAAGTTAGGAATCGGTCTGGTGTTTGAATCTTACTTTTGAAAACTTTGCTGTCTTTTAGAGGATGGGTGTAGAGTTTCTTCCAAGAAGCTTGTGGGAAAGGAGATACTGGGCATTGGAGACCTTGCCTCTCACATCAAGACCTGTCTTTGCATGTAACATGCCCCCACCCCTTTCAGGCTCTAGGGGGTTGGTTATCTTGTTCCTGGGCAGCCATTATGTCTCCCCCCCGTAACATGGCAAGAAATTACTAGGAAAAAAAAAAAGCCTAAAAACTCAAACCCCTTTAGGATAAGGCTCTGATAGGAAGTGGAGAACATCACTCGAGCCAGCAGCTAGCTAGCCTCTATGGTCTGGTGATGGTTCAGCTAATTGAGGGGCTGGCTCTGTTAGTGATATATGAGGTGGAAGTAGGTCTAAAAATACACTGAGATTATTGAGCTGTAGTTAAGTTAGTGGATAAGAAGCCTGATTTGAGGCTTCATTCAAGAACTCAGCGTTGGTGGCAAGATAAGTAGAACTAATCCCTACAAAACAAAACAATCTTTGACGAAATTTACTCATACACCTTTTTCTGCTTTTCCTACTAGAACAAAAATACAATTTCCTAATGAATTTATAAGAACTAAGTTCCTTAGATTTCCTATCTTCTCCTAAAATGACTTTGCATTAAAAACGTAGCTTCAAAACTATTTAAAAATTTAATCTAATTATAATCTTTTATTGCAGGATTTAAAAATCCAGTTTTTAGAAATATTACCCCAAAAAAGAATTTTCTTAACTAAATTCATCCTGATACAGATACAAGAAAATTATCGATAAAAAAAATAACAGTGAAAATCAGTTTTTAACTGGATGAGCATCTTGAGCTTATTTGCAAGTAAGCACATCCAACTTAATAAGATTATACTCTAACTGTGGGGCTGGCCAAATGGGAGTATTTGCAAATGGACATACTTTCTGCAGTTGGACCACGGTAACTATGTGACCTTCTGTAGTTCCAATTCTATTGTTTAACCAAACCAAGAACGGTGACTGCTTTCAGCAATCCAAAATAAGGGAGCTAAATTTGAAATGCATCACAGCAGATAATTTTACAAGAAGAAAGTTTCCGTACAGAATGGTTACTGTCTTCGTGCCAGACTTATCTGCTCATGCAATGTTGGCAGGAGGCAGATGCAGTTTGTCTTGATCAGATCCGTCTACGATCGAAAACAAAACTCTGGTCTGTGAAGGATGAGGCTGAGTTGGAATCATGACGTAGCAGAGAATAAAGGAGTCGGGAATCATCCAAGCAGCAAGGTGTTTGGATGCTTAGAGGAGGCTGAATATTTTAAATACTCAACCAAGTTTCAAGCTGCAAAATCTGCCATGTAGGTTATGGCAGGTCCTCAAAGTCGCTCTCATGAAAGCGGTACTTTGAGGCACCACATCCAGCATCAGTCCAGGCTGATCTGCTGACACCATGGCTTCCTGGAAGAGGCAGCACTTTGGGCAGTGACATTACAACATGGCAACTCCCTAGAAATTCGCGTACCTTGTAGGTAACTCTGGTGTCGGGGGCACCACCGGGCAGCTGGGCAAGTCGGTTATTTCAATAGCCCTCAATCTCTAATATAAATATAACAATTATACAGTAAATATTGCACACACATATACACAAAAAACTACATCACACTAGCATAAAAAATAGAGCAGGAGACAGCCACTATAGCCGGGGAGGGCAGTTGGGGGCCATGAGGCCGGTAGGGGAGGGCAGTTGGGGGCGAGAAGGCTGGTGGCTAGGGAGATTAGGCTGGCAGGGGTGAGCAGTTAGGGCCATCAGGCCAGCAGGGGAGCAGTTAGGGGCATCAGGCAGGCAGGCAGGTGAGTGGTTAGGAACCAGTGGTCCCTGTGGGATCAGGCCTAAATCAGCAGTCGGACATCCCCCGAGGGGTCCCAGATTGGAGAGGGTGCAGGCCGGGCTGAGGGTCACCCCCACCCTCCCATGCACAAATTTTGTGCACCGGGCCACTAGTATAAAATAATAATCTACTTTGAACAACCCATTTCTGTACATGACCAGTCTTCCTATTAACTCTTTTTTGAAGGACACATGTAAACCTGTTTAAAACTGCTTTCTTGAAACAATTTAAGAGCATTTATTCAGCTTATCGGGATGTAAACAAAATAGAAACACATAAAACTACAGAAGAAATACTTTTCTTCAAAATAACATTATATAGAAATACCCAGCACTAATTCTTGCAATTCTTTCCTCTATTCTGTGGTCATGCAGTTTTATTTCCCTGATATCAAGTAAAATATGATGTAGCCATTATCTTAGTGAGTTTATGTCACAGATACTTAACTTTTCCTTAATAAATCCAGTAGCAGGAAGTACATTTTAAAATATATGCAAATATAGTAGAAACACAGACAGCTCACTATATCATTTGTCCTTGTCTGTGGTAAATGTAACTTCCTGTTTGAATGGGTTTCATGAAACAATTATGCAAGGACCACTGTTTAAATTACAGGCAAAGCTACCCAAATATGCATGAAGTGTAGATGAGAATTAAGTGAAGCTTTATGTGAATTGTAATTTCTGCACTGATAGGCAAGGCTTTTTGTCGCCTTATTAAAAGGCCCTTTTATGCTTGAAACTCTAATTTACATAATCAAATGCATCTCCTTACAAGCACAAGGGTGGGCTAGAAAGGCAAATTCATCCGCTTTCTAAAACTGGCGTTATTGAGTTGAGAGTGTAGTTAGTGTTTTTCCTCAGTTCAACACATAAAAATCCATATTTATTAGGCATTGAATATTTTATGAAATCGTATTTTAGGAGCTGTGTTTTTTGTATAGAGAGGCTACAAAAGTAGGTTGAAAATCAGTGTATCCAGAATTGCAGAGAAAAAAGTAATAAATTCCTATCCTTAATCCAACGGGACCAACTTTTCACAAAATCGAATTTCTCACTTTCTCATCTAAAGCAACCAGTTGGTTCACCTAGATTTGCCTGCGGTCTTCATCACATAGCAGCCGCGAGAGGAAAAGGTACGAGACTCACTTTCTCAGCCATCTCATGGGAGTGATGCAGGGAATGCTCCCTCTCCGAGAACATCCTCCTCTGTTCATAGCTGGCCAGGCGACAAGTGAGCCATGAAGAGAGGGTGCAGCCCCCGATCCCAATGCACGCAAGGGACATGGAGGCCAGATGCAGGGGGTAGAGGGGAGAGGTCTTCTTCGTCACAGCCCGAAGGAACTGAAAGTTCAGGATGCCCCCGATGAGGCCACAGATGCAGCAGGCGGAAAAGAGGATCATCTGGCGAGAGGAAGGCAGTGTTCACGTTGAGAAAGGATGGTTGAACTACAATAAAGATGTTTTTGGTGCTTCCTACAGGACAGGGGCTGTGCTTTCACCGAGATTCTATGTCATCGGACTGAATGCAGAGGGTACAGATCACAGTGTTCCCAGAATTAAGCACTGACCATACAGAAGCCAGGGACACATCTTGTGAAAACTCTGAAGTAGCAGAACTTGTCTTCTAGGTAGAGTCAGATTTAACTAATATCGATTTAATATCTACTATGTGCTACTGTGCTAGGAACTTGAACAGATACCTCAATGAGCCCATCCAGAAATCCTCTGAGAGAGGCAGGTGACAATCTTACTCAGGGACTGAGCCCATATTTTCTGACTCCAAATCCAGTTTCACTATGGGAAACCCCCTCGCCCCCAAAATATCTAAATACCTTTTCATTGAACTGCCATTAGTTCCACAGGCTTCAGATCTTTATGCTTCTTTAGTTTTGTGATCTGAGGAAATGGAGTTGACTATTTCATTTATAAAAATTTTATTGTGTGTGTATTTATTTCCCCAGCAGGAGCTTCAGGGACTCCCCGTGAACTGACTCTTCATCTTACAAAACTTGTGTTACTATGTGGCACCACAGTGAAGCCTACACAGTAGGTATTCCCACAATACACTTGGACTGGCTGCTTTGGAGAAACTCAGTATGTGGCTTTGCTTTTGATCCTCCTATTGGCTTGATGTGGGTCCCTATTAATAGAACCAAAGTGTTTTTTTTATTCAAAGTAAATATCACAAGGTCTCTGGTAGAACTAAGTATAATGCCTGCTGTGTAGCAAATGTTTTGTGAATATTTAATAAATTTAATGGAATATTCTAATAGCTTTAATAATTTTATTTTATTTTGCACCAGTATCTAGGGTTTTCATGATACCTTACAATATGATGCTAATTTAATTATATAAACTTATTTCCATATTCTCCTGGCATAGCACCTGTTCCTGTCACCTCTCTTATCCATTGATACAGCTTGTACATTCCTACCTCAACAATATGTTCATTTCCTGAAAATAACTTTGCTTTTTTCCCTTGGACTCTTAGATGGAAGGCCCAAATCCTGTCCTAACTTTCTCAGAACATTTCCATGACTTTACTGATCTCCTCCTTTGACATAAACCCTCAGAGCAAACAGCTATACAACTGACTTGAGCATTTAGTGCTACAATATCAGGTATTTTGGCTGTTCACAGTTGAATCTAGCAAGCACGTATTAAGTACCTAGCATCTGTTAGGTCTTGAGTGAGGTAGCAGTTGGCATTACAAAAAAGAACAGCTCATAGTTATTCCCCTTGAGTACATTGCAGTCTTGGAGAAGATCCAACATTTCCACATGGAGGTGAATGGGTTGCCCTCAGAGTAGGGAGCAGGACAATTTAGCCCAACCGGTGGTTTTAGACAAGACTTCCTTGACCATATGTCATCTAAGCTAAGTGCATGTAGTTCCCAGTAAAGGGTAAGGCCATGGATGCATGAAATAGCACAGTAAAATAGCATGATAGGCAGAAGGAACTGCAAGTAGTTCCTTTTATTTCTCTAACTTAATTCAGCATTCTTTATTGTCTGTCTCCTGGTACTTATCACCAAGGCTAAAAATCTAGTGATGGATGAGTAAAATATTTTTATAGTGATTAATTGTAATACTGAGTATCAATTACCAAGTAATTGAATCATCCCAAGTGGGAACCTATATCTTCCAATTCAGGTAGAACCAATCAGTTATATTCCATTTTAAAGTATATTCAGGAAATGCAGTTTCTTGATAATATATTTTCATGTTTAGTCATTCTCAGAAAATATGAAAAGATATTAACATTTAGCTTTTTATGAAGTCATTACTGTTAAGAAAAATGGCAAATTCAATTGTCTATTGGGAGAAAAGATATTTCTTCTGATGTTTTTCTTAGTAATTATTTAAAGGCACCAGACTTTATTAACAGGTGCAGATAGAGCATTCTCCTAGGAATTAAAATGTAAAACCTATACCCAAATTTATGCACACTTGCATATAAATTATTTGGTTAATATCATCCTGTACTCCGCCCCCCTCTTCCTCTCTGAGATTCAACAGTCTGTTTCATGGATCTATTTTATTCGTCACTATATATTGTTCAGAGCAGGGAGCAGGGGAATTTAGCCCAACCAGTGGTTTCAGACAAGACTTCCTTGACATGAAGGAGATCATGTGATACTTGTCTTTCTCTGACTGGCTTATTTTACTTAGCATAATACCACTCTTCAGGTCCCACATGTCTAAGCAATGGGGCCTTCAACCTTTTCGTCACAATAGATATTCTCACAGAGAAAGATGTGATTAGAAAAGGAGTTAAACAAAAGAACTGCACTACTGCCCCTTCCCTGCCCTCCTCAGATAACTGGTCTCTACTTGGAAACCCCATTTAGGCTCAAAGATCACTTCCTAGGGTCCATGTATAGTATTCATTTCACCAAACTTTAAAGGTGTATTTTCCTATTGTTCTCAATAAAATAAACCATGCCTTTTCCTTCTTTCCAAACTCTCATAAAATGCTGTGGAAGGCAGCGGGGAAGCCACATTCGAGCACGCAGAAGCTGTCCTCCAGCCAACATCGGAGTTAGCTGGGAGCGTGTTCCATACCCCGAAGCCCAGGACACACCATAAAGCATCTGAAAACACTTACATTTGCATTCACAGTAATAAAAACATAAAAGAAACATCTTTGTGAATTAACTGTCACTATAACAACACAGCTGTTTTGCTGCTTTGTAAAATTAACTTGACAGTCAAACAAAGCCAGCAATGCTTAGGCCCAGTTCCATATTTAAACAGTTAAATTTCCCATGAACTCAAGTTATGTCTTTTTCAGTTTATGGAGGGATTCATGCGAATGTTTAGGAGCCTATAAATTGGAAAAGTGGATACCGTCATCCACAGAAGTCATAAAGGCTGCATATTCATGCATGTAAAGAGTATATCAAAGCCTTTCTTTTTCTCTCTTTCTTTCCTTCTTTCTTTCTTTACTCATAATCTTTTTTTTTAATCCTTACCCAACAATATTTTTCCATTGATCCCTAGATAGAGTGGAAGAGAGAGGGAAATACCGATGTGAGAGAAACACCTCAATTGGTTGCCTCCTGCACAAGCCCCTACCAGGGCCTGGGCCTGGGGAGGAGCCTGCAACTGAACTACGTGCTCCCAACCGGAATCGAACCCAGGACCCTTTGGTCCGCAGGCCAACACTCTATCCACTGAGCAACCTGGCTTGGGCACTAGTAATCGTGATGTTTTTCTTTGAAAATAAAAAAGCCAGGATTTATTTGTCAGTCCTTTTTCTACCCTAGATGAGTCACATTCTACATATGAAAGTTGACTAGTCACCATTTCCATTTCTGAGTTCTGACATTTCAAATACTTCAACGCACAAGGCAAACAAGGCAGAAACTTACGATAAGTCCAGACTTCTTTTTGGCGCACAATATTCCACATATGCCACAAAGAAGAAACTGAAAAGGAAAAGAACAACAATCATTTCACATCCAAAGGTAAAAGAACGCCCAGTTTTTAGCTTATAGCTCACTCATGACATTTGCTCCAGGGAAGCTGGAAAAATGTATGCTCCCATTTAAAGCTGAAAAGGAACATCCTCCATTCCAGAATAGGAAGGGATAAAAGTGCAAGCGCAATGAAAGTTTGTTTTTGCCAGGTTGATATGGGTAATTGTGGGATCTAAGCAGAACTTGAGTCAGTTTTACCAACAGGCAAAATTAGGAAGTAAATGAACTTAGAGTCTGTTCCTCCTATTTCCATTCATTGTCTTCTTGTCCTTTCCCACTTTCTCAGGGAGAGCAGAGGTGTGATACAATCATTCTCACTAAGCAATCAGAAACCAATGGGCTATCCTACAGGTAGGGAATCTAGCATGAATGAAAAGATAAGGCATCAGACAGGGACATGTTTTTCTACAGAGACATTCTTTATACCTCTCAAACTATGTCAGGTAAAATGGCTACCCCCTCCTTCTGCCAGAAATACCATCCTTGGAGATATGTCAGAAGAACACAGGGGATGAAGCTACAATAGTCCCCCCATCCACTGGGGACACATTCCAAGACCGCCAGTGGATGCCTGAAACCGCAGGGTTCCAACCCCTATATATACACTTTATTTTGTCCTATTCATACATACCCATAATAAAGTTTCACCTATAAATCAGGTGCAGTAATTTATAACTAATAATAAAAGAGAACAATTATAATACTACTACTACTACTACTACAGGCCCAGTGCACAAATTCATGCACTGGTGGGGTCCAGCCAGCCTGCCCCAATCGGGGCCAATCAGGCAGGGCTGGCCAGGGGGAGGGGCCGCAGGTGGTTGGCCAGCTGGCCTCACCCCCTGGTCAAACTAATGGTTGAACTCCCAGTTGAGGGGATAATTTGCATATCAGGCTTTTATTATATAGGATACTGTAAACATTATGCAAATGAAGTCTCTTTCTCACTCTCAAAATATCTTATTGTACTATACTCACCTTTTCACTTAAAGGAAGCACTTTATAGCTTCTCTTTGGCATATCCGAATTGCCAGCATCACTACTCTGGTGCTTTGGGGCCATTATTAAGTAAAAGAAGGATTAGTTGAACCCAAACCTTTGATATCACAACAGTTAATGTTATTTCATCACTTTACTCAGAATGAGGTGTAGATTAAATTTATAACCTTTGTACTTTTGGAATTTTCCATTTAATATTTTCATACAACAGTTTTCCACAGGTAACTGAAAGAGCAGAAAGCAAAACCATGGGTAAGGGAGAATATTATATTGATGGCATCTAATTTCTTGTAAGAAAATACATGGCTGACCTATTTGCTTTGCAAAATTAACTGCATCAATTTACCTATCAATGACAGTTGTCAAAAAACGGTAAATTGTTTAAGTTAGATAGAAACAGGGCCATTTAAATTGCACATTTATGTATAATTCTGGCAGAGAGGAAACCATGTAAATAAAATAATCATTCATTAATAAATAGTAAGCTTACTAAGGGCTTTCAGATTAGCAAAGAAAACTTTGAGTTGTTTTAAGACAGCTTATTGAATTTGTTCCCCACATAACCTTTACCCACCTCAGATGAAATAATTTTCACTGAAATTTACTTCTACAGAAATACACTCATTAGTGAATAGAAACAAGCTTACATTTTCCCCCTCAAGATAATGAGCTGAATCTCAAATGAGCTTTAATACTTTGATAACCTTTAAAGATTTTTATATGATTTTATCAAAACCAGTAAATTTTTTAAAAAGAAGCATTATGCTAAGCGAAATAAGCCAGATAGAGAAAGATAAATATCACATGATCTCACTCATTTGTGGAATATAATGAACATCATAAACTGGTGAACAAAAACAGATCCAGAGACAGAGAAGCATCGATCAGACTGTCAAACCTCAGAGGGAAGGCAGGGGAGGGTGGAGGGAAAGGGGACAGATCAACCAAAGGACTTGTATGCATACATGTAAGCCAATTCTTGAATGTTTTTATTCTACTGCAGCCACCGGTTAAAATGACAACTGGACTCTTTTAAAAGTGTTATTTTGTAGTTTAGTTCACAAAATGCCAGTGTGCGGAGCAATTCCTTCTTTCTTTCTTCTTCCTTTTTTTTTTTTTTGATACTGTGCTGATGGGATTGTGATTTTCTTACAAGACACCCTGGCTAGACATCCAAGGCCATCCTTTCTGCCATCGGTTTCCTTCCATTTGGGATCTCATGTCTCTAGGGATTCCAGTATAAATTATCTGTGTAAAATGGGGAAAGTTTATCAAGTTGGAAAGCCTGCCTGACGACAGTGATTCTTGGCTGCGTATTAGCTTTAAAAATTCCTGCTACCTTGACCAATTAAAAACCAGAATTTCCAGGTTGGGATTCAGGCATCAGTATTTTTAAATCTCTCCAGTATTTTAAAACCTTCAGTGTGTTCTAACGTCCAGCACAGCATGCAGGGTGCTCGCCAGCGCTTTATCAGCAGAACTGCTCACTTCAGAGCTCACCGCGGAGGCATCGATGTTCCCCTTAATTACTCTCAGCCAGATATGAACGAACGCGAAGCTGCGTAAAGTGCTCTTCAAGGGAGAAACATCAAGTGCTTGTTTATGACATAAGGTCAGAGTGTCAGAACTGTTTGGTCTCTAATGGATCTTAAAAATAGAGATCCTTATTTCATTATCTTTTAACTTATTCTACCCAGTGCCTTTCTTTCATCATTGTAAACATGTTTTCCCCCTAGGCCCCTAATCTTTTCAAAATTTTCTTCAATTTTTAGTTAGAACTAGAATTGGGCAGGACACACTATTATGTGGAAGAATCTGACTAAATTTATATTGGGAATTGAGAAAGTAGGCATAAGAAGTCACATATACAAATAATCATCGTTGTAAAAAGTATTGGAAAGTAATAGATTGAAATCAAGCAAGATCAACGACAAGGAAATAACAATTAAATTAAAATATGGGCAAAAGGTCTGAACAGACCCGACTAAAGAAAATCTGCCAATGTCAAATAGAAGTAAGAAAAAATATTCAACATCATTTGTCATGAAAAATTATGGATTTAAACAACAATGAAGTGGTACCACACACCTATTAAGTGCTTAGAATACAATAAAACAACAACAAACAAACTGGTGATATCAATTGCTGGTGGTGTACAGCGACAGGAATTTTCATTCCTTGCTTGTAGGAATGGAAAATGGCACAGTTACTTTGGAAGTGAGAGTGGCAGTTTCTTACAAAGCCAAACACAGACTTTCCATATGACCCAACAATTGTGCTTTTTGGTATTTATCCAAAAGATATAGCTGCATGTCCTCAAAATGATCTGTGTTGGATTATTTATTTTAGCGTTGTTAGCAACAATGCAAGGGGAGCAATCCCAAATGTCAATCAATGGACAATTGATTAAATTCAATGGATTTCTTTGTATCTATTAAAAAATGTGAGAAAGCTCTTTATACACTGATCTGGAAAGTTCTCCAACCTATCTGGTTAAGTGATAAAAATAATCTGTAGAACTGTGTGCGTAGCAAGTGGACTTTTTGTGTAAAAATGCAAATATAATCTACATACATATTTGCTCTTACATGTATAAAGTAATTCTGCAAAAATATAAAAAACAATGAGCTGTGATTACCCTGTTTGGAGAAGTGCTGGAAGCTGAATGAAGGTAGCTAAATTTTCATCGAATACTTTCGGTGACTTATGTTTGAGCCATGTATAAGTGTTACTATTCAAAAAGTTCAATGAGTAGCCTTCTATTTGTTCAAGACAAAACTATTTTTGAGGTATTAGGAAACAATTGCCTGTCACGATTCGTCCTTACTAGTGAATGACTCCCAACCTTGTGTATAGGCAGGCAAGAGAATGGCCTTAGGGCTGAGATTGAAGAAACACCAGCAGAACTCCCTGACTCCAAAGTACAGGCTGCCGTTGCCCTGGACACATTCTGAAAACGTATAGATTGGTGAATGACTCAAAGTTCCATACTCCTTGTGGGTATTTACAAAGAAAAAAACGAATGAAAATTCCCTACTCTATATGTTTTTATTTATTTTTTAAAATATATTTTTATGGATTTTAGAGAGGAAGGGAGAGGGAAAGGGAGAGAGAAACATCAACAATGAGAGATAATAATTGTTCTGCTGCCACCTGCACATCTCACACGGGGATCGAGCCCACACCCGGGCATGTGCCCTAACTGGGAAGTGAACCGTGTCCTCCTGGTTCATAGGTCAATGCTCAATCACTGAGCAGCACTGGCTGGGTACCTGTTTTTAGAATGTGTCTTTGGAAAGGAGGTTGGCTGGCCATATTTTGGCTGTCTAGGAGCTCTGCTTAGTTTTCTTCAATCTCAACATCTAAGGCCATCACCTTGTCTGCTTTTACACGGGTTGGTTTTGCATGTTTGATGGAATTGAATTTGGAACCTGCTACGGGCAGAGCTTTCAGGCACAAATCCAGAAGTGCCATAGAGTAGCTTACAGGAATTGAGGTCATCCTTCTGAAATACACAGAGCTTCTCATGGTGAATTGAGATTGAAAGCTGAATGTGGTTTATTCTGAGTTAAATATGACAAATCACAAACCACTACATAGTAAAGTCGATGTGGCTTCATCTTCCATGACCAACATACTTCATCTTTATTCAGAAGAGATTTTGTAGTTCTACATGTTCATGATAGTAGCAGAAATACAGCTTTTCTTGTCCAAAGCATTTTAAGTCCCTCAACTCTCTGGGAAAACACAAATGGATTGAAAAAGGAAATTTTACTCCATGAGGGGCAAATCAACGAAGAAAATAAATTTTGAAGCAAAGAAACACTTTTGAACCTCACATTACACAGAAATACAATTGAATGTATTATTTCATTTGCCATAATTGGGACTGTTATGGTGAGAGAATTTCTATTTTAATATCTAACTCTGCTACAGCTACTCAGACAAAG